AGGGAGGGGGTTCAGGGCTGGGGCAGGGGTTCAGGAAGCAGGCTCTGGCTGGGCACCGTTTCACTGAGACGGCTTCCACGTGGTGGAGAAGCAGGGCTAAGGCGGCTCACTCCCGCCCCGGCCCTGCACTGCTCCCCAAAGCAGCTGGCACGTACAGCAGTGACTCCATGGAGCCATGCGCTGCCCCCATCTACAGGCACGGAGCCCACAGCTTCTACTGGCCCCGGTTCCCCATTACGGACCAACGGGAGCTGCAAGGGCGGTGTCCGCAGGCCAGGCCAGCATGCGGAGACCCCCTGCTCCACATGCCAGCCCCGTCCAGGAGCAGCTGTTCCCACGGGGCTAGGGACTCCAGCCAGGGCAGGTTCGGCATTTGAGAACTCGCTGCTCCAAGAATTACACCGACGTGTGAGAGAGAAATGAAAATGATGAAATGCACCGACCAGTCAAACACCGAAACTATCCCCCTTTGCGAGCAGTAACAACCCCCCGCCTGTGTGTTGGGCCCGGAGAGGAGAGGGAAGGACGGTGTGCGTGTGTGAGAACGACAGACGCACACAGGGTGTGAGAGTGAGATTTGCAGCGCCAAGCTCCCCCCATCCCCGTCTGTCTGTGTGGAGATAGGGTACAGGAGTGGGGGGAGGAGGGACACCCTGACACCAGCGCCCCCCCCTCCCTCCACACCAAGCGGGAGGTTGCCAGGGGGGGCAGCTCCAAGACAGAGGGCACCGTGACCGCGTGGGGAGGCGTAAGTGAAGTGACAACGCTTGAAAGCCAAACCAGTCAGGATCCCCTGTCTGGGCTCCAAGATCTACCAGTAGATCCCGATCGACTGGTTGGTGACCACTGATCTAGACAGGGCTTGGTCCTGCCGGGAGAGCAGGGGACTGGACGCGAGATCCCTACCACGTCCAGGGTTCTATGACTCTTGGGGTTCATTTTGCCTCCCTTTCCTCCAGATCCAGGCCGTATCCAAATCTGGCATCTCCTCCTCCTCAGCGTCTCCATTATTTTCCCTCCCATACCCTTAGCCAAGCCCCCACTTCGGACCTTCCCTCAACCCCCTTGAGTCTGGCACTATCTCCCTCTTTGGGCCATCCAAAGCCGGCCTATTTACACCATGCAAGCTGCGGCTGCCAGCCTGCCTGCAGACATGATCTCATCGCCCCTCTCTTCCAATCGCTCACTGACGCCCCAGCTCTTATCGCACCAGAATCAAGCTTTGAAAACACGTCTGCCCTCCCTATCTACCACCCTCGTCACTTCGCCCCCCACATCCTCCCCGCTCCTCCGGTGTTATTCCCCTCAGCTGCCTGTTTATCAGCTTCTCGCCTCTTCTTCTGCCGGCCGAGGTGGGCCTTCTCTTCCAGGCCCCTGCCCCGCCCACATGGGAGTCCTTCTTGAAGATCCACTTTGGCCACTGACAACCGTGCCTCTAGCTGTCCCTCACAGTCATTTTTCAAAGGAAGCCAGATTTCTACTTCTCGCTCTTCTCTCTCTGCAGTCAGAGCATGATGCGCCTCATGGATGTTCCTCCCGGCCTGTCAGGACTGCATCTCGTATGTGGTGGGGCCTGGCCGGAAACAAATTCGAAACGAGGCCAATAAGTAATCAGAGCTAGCCGCGTTATGGCACCTCCGGGCATGGGAGGCCTGGTTCTGATCTTAGGCTGCCTGTGGAAATCAGGAGACGGTCAGTGAGGTTACTGGAGCTAAAACACCCATGAGAACAGAACCCGGCCCAAAGCCAGTAACAGTTCCCAAGCGGTCATGTCCGCCAGTCCTAGTTCTCTACAGCCTTAGCTGAGAGTCAGCCGGTTTTTAGCTCAGGCTGTAGAACAGGGCTGGACAAGATGCGGCCTGGAGGCCAAATCCAGCCCACCTCACACTTCAATCCGGCCGTGGGCTGCATCTGGCTGCTTTCTATTTATCTCCTGCTGCCTGGGCCACCAAACGTCCAGGAGGCAGCTCAGGCAGCAGGATCCTATTTAAATGGCTCCCGGCTCCCACTTGGGGTGCTACCTCGGCAGAGGATAGAGCCACAAGCCCTTTGCTGTGTTTTTAATTCAATGCCCCCAGCCCAGATAACTCTGGGGGCTAGTCCCCAGCCCCGCCCCCTCCACCTCAGGCCCCGCCCCATCTGGGGGTGGAGCCAGCCCATGACCATGCATTAAGTGGCCCCCTTACGAACAGTATTGCCACGCCTGCTGTAGAGGGTCATACTCTAAGCTCCAGAGGTCCCAGGTTCGGTTCCACCTGTTGGCATTACAGCTAAATGACAGGAAACCTTGGGGGTACATTTCAGACTCTGCTACATATGGGTGTATGATACATTATGGGCATATACTCTGCAGGCACAAACACCAAAATAAGCAGTTTGAACCCTTGCCTTTGCATAAGCATTACAACTCTGTTACACGCAGGCAGGTATTTACACCTCTAAAGCAGGGGTGCAGTTGTGTGAGATGCACCACGTTGCAAATCAAACTGAACATTTGGCCCTTGATTTCTGTCTCGGCGCCTGACATGAAATTCACCCTTTATATCAGTGATGATTCTGCACATACATTAAATAACATTGCCTCTGGAGTTTGCAGACAGCCTAAGGGTATGTCTACACTACCCCCCCCCAGTTCGAACTAGGGAGGCTAATGTAGGCATTCGAAGTTGCAAATGGATTTAAATATCCTGGGCTTTATTTGCATCGTCCCATCTGGGTGCCATTTTTAAATCCCCTTAGTCCGAACTAACTGCCGACGGCTACACACGGCAGTCAAACATTAATTCGAACTAAGGACTTAACATTAACTCGAACTAAGGAGTTCTTTAGTTCGAGTTAACGTTTGACTGCCGCGTGTAGCCGCAGGCAGTTAGTTTGGACTAATGAGATTTAAAAATGGCGCCCGGACGGGAAGATGCAAATAAAGCCCGAGACATTTAAATCCTGGGCTTCATTTGCAACTTCGAATGCCTCCATTAGCCTCCCTAGTTCGAACTAGGAGGCTAGTGTAGACATACCCTAAAAGAATAGCTCAAAGAGAGGTATGAACTTTCCCCATTCATCACAATTTGGTATTAACTCTGGAACCTAATGGTGCCATTTTAAAAGTGAGCATTGCTCAAATAATCTACAGGCAAATAATGGCCAAGAGCAACCAGCACAGTGCTTATCCCACAGCCCTAATTCAGAGTTAAATTCAGAGGCAGAGTAAAATTAATTGCAATTAATGTCAAATAAAACAGTGGATGTTGTACTGATTGTATTAGTCACTTCCACATTAAATGTAACAAAACCTTTCACTTTTTCTTTAAATTCACCTCAAACTGCCATCGATTTTCCAGTTCAGCCACAGTGCAGTGCTACAGAAATGAACAGCTCTTGATATAGCATTTAGGTGTACCTTTGCCACAGATTACATGGACTTTGATACACCTAGAGCATGTATTTTCTGCCTACACTTTCTTGGAACATTCACCCACAGACTGCCTTCCACCCGGCCACATCTGGAACATTCAGCAATTAGTAAGCAGTTATGTCATTGCGACGCCCCCTGCCTCAGTTTCCCCAAAGCGCTTTGCCATCTACTGACAAAACGCACTACAAAAGAGCTCCGTGTTATTAGTATGAATAATCATTAATGACAATATTGAAAAGATACAAATAAACTTCATTGGTACGGCATCTCATAACACATATAATGAGTGTAACTTCATTTATACACCAGCTTTTAATTGCTCGGATCTGCAATTTGTCAATGCCTACACGTCAGAGTCTTTGTAGTTACATGCTACGTGTCTTTGAAATATAGGTTGGACTTCCTTGGTCCGGCACCCTCAGGTTCCGAACCAGGGAGTTTTCCGGACTAGGGAGGTCAAGGCTCCCTTCCCAGCCATCAGACCCTCTGGAATGCTAGCCCCGATCACTGGGCTCTGCTCCCAGCCTCGGATGGGGCTGCGTTCCCTGCCGGGCTGGCCTGGGTTGTACTCCTGGCTCATGGCCTAGTGAAGGCTCTCGGGCACTGGACCAGAGAGTGCCGGATTTCAGAGGTTCAACCTGTACGTCAAACAAATGACACTAAGTACAGTGCATGAGGTGAGAGATAGGCTGGAGGTAACACAGACCATACCACCCGTCTGTACAAGGAACGTGGATGCATGAAATCCTCCCCAAAGCACGAAAAAGATGCTGTTTCATTATATCCGAGTCCACCCTGAGCAGACATCCCTATATTTGCTAAGAGCGGGTTGAGTGGGCCATTATGTAATCATGCCACAACTTTTAATTAATCCCCGAGCCTTTACAGAAAAATCACATTTGTCAAGAGCGCCCATCACATTTTCATTTTTTCCACAACATTCGCCGTAGAGTATTTTTCAGCATGTGCTGTTCACTTGATGACTTGGGAGAGGATGTGGTTACGGTTTTGACAGAAAGGAAGCGCTACAGTGCTGCCTAGATGACAGACGGAAAGATAAGGCTTTGTGCACCTACGCTGCCTTTCAAACACCTTTTTTTTGTTGAAAAAATCAACTGCCCTCTTTCTTGTTTCTCTTTTCTGGACTTGTGCTTGGAGTGCGGGTCTGGGACCGGCGTGCGGGGTCCGGGAGGAGCGCCGTGCCCTGCCGAACCATGAATAATTGTGTTCTCCTGGAAGAGCAGCTGATCAAAAAATCCCAGCAGAAGAGACGGACCTCTCCCTCTAACTTCAAAGTGCGCTTCTTCGTTTTAACCAAATCCAAGCTGGCTTATTTTGAGCATCGCCATGGGGTACGTGAGCCATTTTCTCTCTCGTTTTTTTGCAGGCTCGTGAGTCGAGAGTATTGAACGGGAGGGGGGAACAGTGTATGCTGTGAAATCCCATGCGCCCAACATCTACTTAAACTAGCTACTGGTGGAGGGCCCTCCATGGCATTCTGTGCCCACCCAAAACTTCCCCATAGGTCAGTGGCGGTTTGGCGTGTCGAAGGAATGGAGGATCAAACCTGGTTTGAGCAAAGAAACGTAGCGCGGTCTGAATACCTGCCTCCCTCCAAGATGCCTAACTGACTGTGTACTAGGCAATTCAAATGGATAGTGCTGTAGCTCAGGGCATGTTTTGATCAAAGTTATAAAGTTGGGTAACAGGGATTCTCGCCATACGCTTTAATTGCGTGTAGAAAATCAGACCAAACAAATTGGAACCGGGCAGACACTCAGCTCCAGTAGAAGGATGGTTCTCTGCATGACGGACTCCATGTTTGTTAATCAAAACTCTCGAGGTCAGGTTCTAACGGGGTCAGTTGTTTCGGGGAGTAGGCTGTAGGAGGGGGTCTGATATTCAGATGCACTCAGTCTAAGCACACCTCAGATGCCTAGACCTGAAACTATGAAAAGAATTAGAAGCTAATGTGTGTTAGCAACCTTTTATGGGTGCTTTTATCAAAGCGAAACTCCCATCCTGTCTCCTTTTGTGCATATGGAAGCACACAACTGGCTGGAGCCACCCGTTGTAACCTTACTCAGTTTGTTTGCCAGGGTCTACAAACAAGGACATCAATACACGACTTTAAGGGTGTATTGCTGCTTGTAAGTGTTGTTTCTCTCCAGTTGCACTGCCATGTTTCTTTTGAATTTGTAAGAATCCATTAAGGCACCATAAAATGCATGTGGTTTATTTTAAATACTATATTTAAATTTTTTAAAATATATTATTGCAATCCAAGATGTATATTTTCAGTTTGACTGAGAGTGTCTATTCTGTGGTCCAAATGTCGTCATTTGAAGAGTTAAGATGTTATTACAACTACGTAGCCTAGTAAGACTGGGAACAATTTTCACAAGTGCCTAATTGATTTAGGAACCTAAGTCTCTCTGGGTCTGATTTTCAAAGACATTTAGTTGCCAAAAGTTGCAGATAGGTGTTCTTCAAAATCCCTCTATGTGCTTTACTTTGCTGCCTAGCTCCCTTTAACAGGCACATAACCTGGCTTGGCACTTTTGAAAACCCCATTCAGCATTTATCTGCATTTGGAGACACCTAAATACCTTTGAACATCAAACCCACGGACTTTGAACAGGACAGCAGCATGAAAGTCACTTCAGTGCTTTAGAAAATTATACCCCCTTGTGCCCTAAATCCTAATGAGGCAAAAATGGGACGATGTATAGGGCCGTAACAAGCTACATATCTAAGCAAACTTGTCAAAATATGTCCTTGTACCATTTACAAACATCGGAGTGTGCCAAGATAATTGCAGCGTATTTGGCATGCACAGCGGAGGTGCTTCTCTTACCTCAAATGTAAATGTGCCGAACCAGAGCAACGGCGGAGTAACTTGTCATAGCTTCATTTAAGTCAATAACACTGTCCCCTGAAGTAAGTGAGTTAGACTAGCTGAGGAGTTAGAACCCTAGACCTGGAAGGGACCTTGAGAGGTCATCAAGTCCAGTACCCTGCCCTCACGACAGGACCAAGCACCGTCTAGCTCATCCCTGGCAGGTGTCTGTCTAACCTGCTCTTAAATATCTCCAGCGATGGAGATTCCACAACCTCCCTAGGCAATTTATTCCAGTGTTTAATCACCCCGACAGTTAGGAACTTTTTCGCTATGTCCAACCTCAACCTCCCTTGTTGCAGTTTAAGCCCATTGCTTCTTGTCCTATCACCAGAGGCCAAGGGAAACAATTTTTCTCTCTCCTCCTTGTAACACCATTTTAGGTACTTGAAAATTGCTATCATGTCCCCTCTAGGTCTTCTCTTTTCTCTAAACAAACCCAATTCTTTCAGTCCTCCATCATAGCTCATGTCTTCTAGATCTTTCATAATTTTTGTTGCTCTTCTCTGGATCCTCTCCAATTTCTCCATCTTTCCTGAAATGTGGTGTAAAGAACTGGACACAGTTGGCCATTGTCTATCACTAGGTTTGTCTCCTGGAGGCAGGTATGTACAACATGCGCACAGCTATACCAGTAACTGTAGGACCTGATACTCCACTGTGTAGCATTGGGTTTGTGCCAGTGTAAATCGTCTTAGCAGGTCCATTATATTAATAAACCTCCCTGGTGCAAAATGAAGATAGGAGTGCAGATAAGGACCAGTTAGCCCTGAAGTATGAACTCTTTTGCTTATCTATGACAGTCAGAGCAGGTAATTCTGTGCAGGCTTCGGCATTGCCTCATTGGTCTCCAATCTGGTGGGACAAGCTCTAGGGCTGAGAAGGTGGCTCATGCTACCCACCCTTTTGGTCTTCGCTTGTCTCCTGAGTCTTCCAAGGGCCGGGCCGACACCACCACTACTTTTCACCGGCGGTAGGAAAATGTGGCTTTAGCACCCTGGCTTGACATGATGGTTTCCCGGTCTTCTGAACTCAATGTGAGGGTCTCTTTGGATGTCCATTGTAACCCTCTGGTGGTGCATATGAGCAGAGATTTAACATCTCTACAAACCTGGCCCAAAGATCGACTGTGTTAGTTCATTCCTTTCTCTGGCCTTACCATGCACCCTGGTCCTGGTCCAGCCAAGAGTTGAAGCTCATGCCTGATCTCGAAGCAAAGCACAGAGAGCAGACGTGTAAGTGCACAAGTGGCCCCACGGATTCCAGTGGGACTGCACACACTTAATGTTAAACCCGCATTTACGTTGTGCTGGTCTGAGGTCAGAGGAGCTAGCCCCTCAAAGTATCCTGCCCTGTTTCTGTAGGACAAGCCTCCCAAGTCTAAAAGGACATTGAGTAAAGCTGTGATGCTTAAAGGGATGAAATTAATGACATTGGGGAGATATTCAGGGGCAAGTCTGTCAGCAATATCCAATGTTATGGGTGCCAGAAAGGCACATTTTAAAAATAATCATAATAACTTTCTATCCAAGGGCATAACACGTGGGGTTCCGCAGGGGTCTGTTTTGGGACCGGTTCTGTTCAATATCTTCATCAATTATTTAAATATCGGCATAGAGAGGACACTTATTGGCTGCATCTAGACTGGCATGATTTTGCGCAAAATCTTGCCACCTGTCTACACTGGCCGCGAGCATTTGCACCGTACAAAATCAGTGTTTCTTGCACAAATACTCTGATGCTCCCGCTCAGGGATAAGCCCTCTTGAGGGCCAGTGTAGACAGCCATGTTAATTTCTTGTGCAAGAAAGCCCGATGGCTAAAATGACCATCAGAGCTTTCTTGCCCAAGAGAGAGTCTACACTGGTACGGATGCTTTTGCGCAAAAGAGTAGATGCTCTTTTGCGCAAATACTTTTAACGGAAAAACTTTTCCGTTAAAAGAATTTGCGCAAAATCATGCCAGTCTAGACGCATCCATTAAGTTTGCTGGTGATACCAAGCTGGGAGGGGTTGCAACTGCTTTGGCGGATAGGGTCATAATTCCAAATGATCTGGACAAACTGGAGAAATGGTCTGAGATCAATAGGATGAAGTTTAATAAGGACAAATGCAAAGTGCTCCACTTAGAAAGGAACAATCAGTTTCACACATACAGAATGGGAAGCGACTGTCTAGGAAGTACTGCGGAAAGGGGTCATAGTGGACCACATGCTAAAGGTTAGGGTTAGGGTTAGGGTTAGGGTTAGGGTTAGGGTTAGGGTTAGGGTTAGGGTTAGGGTTAGGGTTAGGGTTAGGGTTAGGGTTAGGGTTAGGGTTAGGGTTAGGGTTAGGGTTAGGGTTAGGGTTAGGGTTAGGGTTAGGGTTAGGGTTAGGGTTAGGGTTAGGGTTAGGGTTAGGGTTAGGGTTAGGGTTAGGGTTAGGGTTAGGGTTAGGGTTAGGGTTAGGGTTAGGGTTAGGGTTATTTTGAAAAGGAGAAGACAGAGAGGGGACATGATAGCAGTTTTCAAGTACCTAAAAGGGTGTCACAAGGAGGAGGGAGAAAAATTGTTCTCCTTGACCTCTGATGCTAGGGCAAGCAGCAATGGGCTTAAACTGCAGCAAGGGAGGTTTAGGTTGGACATTAGGAAAAACTTCCTGCCTGTCAGGGTGGTGAAACACTGGAATACATTGCTTAAGGAGCTTGTGGAATCTCCATCACTGGAGATATTGAAGAGCAGATTGGATAAATATTTGTCAGGGATGATCTAGACAGTGCTTGGTCTTGCGGTGAGGGCAGGGGACTGGACGTGGTGACCTCTGAGGTCCCTTCCTGTTCGAGTGGCTGATGCCTCTATTATTCTTTTGTAAGATGACATTCCGGACACAGAAGGCTCCATTCTCCTCTTGCTCTGAGTGCACAGAAGAAGATGCTAATAGAAGATATTTACTTACATCCGCTGGAGAACGAGCCCCAAACTAACTAGCAACAATAAGACGCTCTGTTTCCTGAAATTCGTTATGCAGTGCACAAAGCAGGGTTGTCTTAGCCTCAAGCAGAGCCTCGGTAATAGACGCGTGGAGGCCATCACAAGCTCCTTTATTAGAGTATGCAAATCACTGGGAAAGGCAAAATGTTTTGTTGCTAAGGGCCGATCCTCCCCTGCATGTCAGGAGCCGTGCGGACCGGATAGGTCCTATTGCGTGTGTTGTCGTGACTTCCGGGAGCTAGGGTTACAGGGTAGGGACCAGTCCTACCTTGTAAGTCACTTGAGTCATACCAAGTCTGATGGGACCACACTCGTGGGGAGTTACCCCTGTGAGCAAGCGGGTGCTTGTCTGGGCCCTAGGCTTGCATCACGGAGAGGGAAGCAAACCAGCAAATCCCTGAGGACATGTTCCCTCGAGGCCACGTTTCCAGCAGTATGTCGGGGCTCGTAGTCAGAGCCCAGAGGGACTGTCAAAAGTGCCTTCAC